TGGAACTGGATGAGCTTTAAGGTCCTTTTAATGCAAACCATCTTATGACTATGAAAACACTCTTGGAAAGGGAACTGTGATAAGTGAAGAGATCAGTGCTATGTGTGTTGCTGGGCCTTGTCCCAGCAAGCACAGTTCCTGCTGCTCTTCCCATTTAAATAGTCTCTGTGAGTATGTCTTTCCCATTTAAACAAACACTCGTTGCCTTTTATTGATAGTCTTGCTCAAAAGGACAAGGAAGAGCAAATAAGAGCAGCAGTTTGTCAGGAGTGTCATTGCATAACCTTTGCTGTCACGAGAGCGCGTTGGGTTGACCATCTACTGGAACTCTCCTTCCAGAGCGATCTGGTTTATACTTATGTAGGTTTCCTTGGCCAGTAGCTGGAGCCTGTTGGTCAGTAAAGACACCACATTCCACTTGGCCATCTGTCTGCCCTGTGACTCATTTGAGAAACAGATTCTACTTTTATGATTGCTTCAGCTTTAATCCCTAACTGCCCAACGTTTGCGGAGGGGGAGTTGGGGGGGAATAAAGGCAGATGCCTTCACACATAGTGTTGGGCTTAGAAATGACTGCTGCCGCCTGCTCTGCCGGCGTCGTGTTGCAGATGACCCAACTGATAGTGGTGGTTGTGTTGCTCAGTTCACACCTCGCAGAGTAAAAGGCTGCCTGTTCCAATTCTAGCAGCCACAAACTTAACTTTATCCTTAACCCATCCTGCTCAGTCACACTTCTTCAACTTAACACCAGTGTCTCTGATTACCTTGTTTATTTAGACCCCAAACCTTAGTGTTTCTTCTTAGCACAAGAAGGTTGGATGAGGTGACCTGCAGAAATCCCTCCCAGTCTCAGCCCCTCCACGGTTCTATGTGCACAGGACAGCAAGCAAGAAGGCAGCAACGGGGAAGACAGGAACAAGTGTTGTCCCATCTGCAACATGCCCTTCTCGTCGCCAGCCGTGGCAACGTCTCATTACTTGGGCAAGACTCATGCCAAGAACATGAAGCAGCAGTCCCCCAGACTGGAAGGTATGACTGTCTGCGGCGCCTGCAGATTGTACCGAGGGGCTGTTCAAGCAATATAAAAGTCAAGAGGTTCATTGGACCCCAAGTGTAAGCTCTTGTGAGGATGTGTGCACTCTTTATTATGAAGCAGAGTGAGCCAGCAGTACACCTCCGGAGACTTGGCCTCTCGGCAGCCTGCTTGATGGGCTGGCGTTAGCAGAACCTTGTGTGTTGTTTTGTGTTGCTTTGTTGAGGAGAAATGTAGCTTGTGGCAGTGTTGTACCCATCCCTCTGTGTCGAAATGCCTGTCACAGGTTACAGTGCTCACTAAAAGTTTACAGAGAGTGAAGTGATGGGTGAAACTCGGATACAGCAAATTCATCAGGCCTGATCAGCTACAAAGATGTAGCTTCTGAGCCTCAAAAACTTGTGAGCTGCAGATAGCTGGGGACTGGGAGAGTGTAACTGGGAAACATCAGTACGTGCTTGTCCTGGCCTTGTGTTTTTCCCACGGCACCTACTGCTGACTGCTCATGATGTGATACAGTCCAGGCAGACCTCGAGCCTGACCCAGTGCAGCTCCCTGTGTGTCCCAGACAGAAAAGCCAAAAGGATGGGAAGGGAGACCTCTGTCCAGGGCGGGAGGTCAGCCAAGAGCTTGGGGTGCTGTAGCTGGTCAGGACAGAGGCAAAACACAGCCACACCTGAGGATGGCAGCTTGTGCTAGCTCCGAGCTGGGATCTTCCAGGCAGAAGCTGTCCGTCCCGGGGTGTCCTCATGACTTTGCTTTGTGTGTGCACAGTGAAGCCACCTCTGGGGTCAGGATGGCCCATGGAAATGAGCAGAGCCTTCAGGAAGGGGAGGATGTACACATGAGCACCCTAGTGCGTACCTTCCATTTTGGCATGAGAGGAGCTCTCTGACCCTTAGAAGTCTCCTTGTTCTGGTCTTTGGTACCTTGTAATGAGAGGGTGCAGGTTTCTCCATCAGACGGAAGAGCCACTTATCCATGTGGATTCACTGTGTCAGACCTGGCCCATTCATGCTATTTCTCAGGCAAGACTCCTCGTGGCTCGGTATCAAGTCCTGCAGTTGCACCATGTTTCCCAAAACATTCTTGCCTTTGCTGCTTGGGACTGGTACCCGTATTCTACCTAGGTGGTGGTAATAGAAGGTGGAAACTCCTTCATATCCATGGTTTCTTGAATACAGCCATGCTTATGTTAAGGAGAAATATGCAAATCTTTTGGGTTTTTTGACCCTAGAAGTTTTCCTGGCCTACTCTGACTTGTCTTACCGTGTGCCATTCAGTTCTGCAGTGTTAAGGGAAGAGGTAGGAGCAATGTGTATTTATCTAGAGACCTTAGATTCTCTGTCTGGGTTTGGGTTTTAGGTGTAGTGGGCTATTTTTTTTTAAGGTGGGTTTTAGGGAAGTAATGTGACTGTTCTTTACCCTGAGTTCCGTGGCTGACCAAGAGTTTGGATTCAACCTACAGAAGCGATGCCCCCACAGAAACATCCTGCTGCACTCTCCACCTCTACCGTGTCTTCTAACGAAGAGAACAAGGACATTACTGACCCAGACAAGTTCTGTAGCCTCTGCCATGCCACTTTCAACAACCCCCTTATGGCAAAACAGCATTACGTAGGCAAAAAGCACAGAAAACAAGAGACCAAACACAAGCTGATGGCGCACTATGGCCGAACCCCTGATGCACCGGCATCGTCCTTCATGGGTGAGTTCTCAGCAGGCAGAGAATAAATAGGTGAATAGTTGGAGAGCAGCAGTATGCATCTGACAGGTCTTTGGATGAGAGTCTGAGTGGAGGGAGCAGGGGAGAATTGCTCATGATGAGGATCTTGATTATATGCACTAAGATTGATTTGGTTGATGTTCTAACCCCCTGGCAGCAAGAGAGGTTTTACACTGTAGCTACTTGTGACAAGCTTTGGGCTATATTTTGCAATGTTGTCTAATCAGAGATGTGTCCTTCTTATTTTCTGTGTGGATAATCCAGGGATTTTGGCCAGTGCTGTTTCCAGCTAGGTGATTGCATCCAAAATGGAAAGATAAAAGTGGCATTTGATGCTTCAAAAAACATCTTCGAAGGGAATTAGCCAAAGATGGAAGAAATAGGTTTAACTGCACCTGGTGCTTCAAAGCACATGAAAGACAGAGAGATTTCTCCCTGGATGCTTTTCTGCCTCTGTGTGGGCACTTCATCTGATGAACTAATGCAACTTAATGTGGGGGGAAAAAATAAAAAGAGCTATTAAGGAGGAACTTTAGGCAGACAGTTAAAACTCATTTGGTTTATGATCTGCTGCTTATGAGCACTTCTACACAATGAAAGCCAGTGAAAGCGTTAGGAGCTCACAGTAAACTCCCTTGTTCCTCCCAGCAGCCTTCTGTTGGGCTAGGAAGTCTAGTACCTGCTGGATGCTTGAGGTAAATAATAAGCAGCCATATCATCTTTAAATCTTCTTTGAGGGCTTCATTCTCTGTTGTAAAAACCCATACAAGCAGAAGATTAATAATTCTAATTCTTTGCAGGCCACCTTTAGATACCGGTAGCACTTATGAGAAATGAGGCTCAATTATCCAAGTAATATTCTCTCCCACCTCGTGTAGTCATGTGGGAGGTGGAAGGTGCTCACTCTCCAGCGGTACCCATCTGCTCTTCACCTAATTAGTGAGCTCTGATGAATGGTTCCAATCAGCGTGAGTCAGGTGCTGACAGTGGCAGACCGCAGCCCAGGCAGGTGGGCAGTGTCCTCACCTGCCTGATTGATGTGTCCCATCAAGTGCCAGCAGAACCCCACTACCTGAGGACGCACCTCCATGGACCTTGAGCCATTCAAGAGAGGTTTCAGAGTTAAGTCTGCTTGGATGTGAATGGCTGCAGTCAGAGGTGTTTTCTTCTGCTCTCTCTGCCCACCTCTGGGTCCTAACAGCCATGCCTGTCCCTAAACTCTCTTCTGGGACCTGGCTGGCAGCAGGTAAAGCCGAGTTCTTTGTAGCACAACACCAAGGTGTTTGCTTAAAGCTCCTCTAGGAACTGCCTGTTTGGGGTGCAGGGGGGCAATTTAGACAACTTTGTGCACACTCCTGTTTGGCAGATTTACAACAGAGAGATCCTGACCTCGATTGTGCAGGGAGACAGATGCAAGGGCTGTAACAGCTCCTCCAGCCTTACCTGCCCAAGTCCAGCTCTGTTTTGAGAGCTGGATGTCTCACTGGAGTCTGAAACCTTCCTGAGGTGTAGCAGATGAGTGGGGAAATAACTGCTACATCGTGTGCTGTGCTTTTCACTCAGTGATTATGCTGCTCTACACCCCTGGGGTGAGTCTCCTCTTTCACCTTAAGGAAGTGTTTTCCTTGTGAGACAGGCAAGACCTCTTCCCCAGTGAGCCCAGATACAGGAGCACTTAATGTCTTGAGGACAACTGCCAGGATTTTCCTGTTCCAGACTTCTGTGCTGAGCTGTGCTGCCATGCTTGCCTGTTTGGTATCTGTGACCTCCTGAACTTTAATTCCAGCTGGAGTTGTCATGTTACACAAAACCATTGATCTGTCTGGTACAACTATTGTTGGAAACTTTTTTTTTTTTTGGGGGGGGGGGGCAGTTAACTGATACTCAGGGTGTAACCAAACTGCTTGAGGAGAGAGCTTAATATTCTCAGTTGGCACCTCAGCAAGGCTTAGCAGAATGCTGCGTTGTGGAACTGGACATTGTGTGTAATCTCTGCTGGCTGCTTTTTTTTTTTTTTAAATACTACAAGCTTACAAATTATCTCCATCATTTTCTATTATAAGACGTACAGGTCAGGAGGAGTGGGAATTTGGGAGATAAATGTTGTTGAAAGACAGTATAACATCAGCTTTGGTGTCCTAATGCTGAGACTTTTACTATGTCTGATACTCTGAACTGTTTACAGGAAACATGTCTTTGCTTTTATAGATAACGAAACCCATGTACTGACCAGGAAAACTTTTTTGGTTTAGGGAATCTCTTGCAGTGACTGGCTGTAAGGTGGGGTAGTGGGATTCAGTGACATCCCCACCTAGTCAGGCTCTTGATTTGCTATTTGTCTTTGTTTAGCAGTTGTTTAACACATCAGGTGATTGATTATCTCACTTGTTTCTAACTCAGGCACCAAGCTGTTGGCTAGCTGTGTGCTAACACTGCTGTCTCTTTCAGCTGGGAAGGGGTACCCCTGCAGCACGTGTAACATAGTACTGAACTCCATAGAGCAGTACCAAGCTCACATCAGTGGCTTCAAACACAAGAATCAGTAAGTAACATTCTTGAATAAGAGTGTTTCCAGCCTTGCTGTTCAAATCAGTGGCTTAAATATAACTTAAAATGCAGTTTTCAATGCATATCCCATCTGATTTGTAAGCAGAACAACAGGGATGGTGCAAGCCAGTGCTGTTTGTCCCGAAGCCGATTCACTTCGGCAGCTCCCTCTGCAGACAGCTCTGGGATGCTGCTGAAGTAGAAGTGCCCTGCAGCTGATTTTAGTTCTTTATATCTCAGCACAGTGTGGACCTTTGTAGGGAGTGTGTTCAGCCTGACACCCATTAAGCACGGTTTCTCTAACAACTGAGGCTTTAATTTAATTAAAGCCTGGCTCAGGGGGGATCTTTTTGCCATTCTAATCTCTCTTGGGGTTGCTCATCTTAAAATTTGGCATGTAGTCAGCATGCTCCAGAAACCAAGACTATATTCCTGAGCTTGCTCTCACAGCTGGCGAGTTAAATAATGGCATCCCTGCATATATTATTAATAAAAAAAGAAATATTAGGCTGCCAGATGATTAATACAAAAAATATTCGTTCTGGACACTGTCAAAGTTCAGATCTCTAATTTCAAACCCTTTGCTAAAAGAGGCTCAGTAATGAGCTTGGGTTGGTTAGAGAGGAGCTTGGATGAAAGAGGTATTAGGAAAATCCTACCTGAAGTGAGGACAGAGTCCTAGCCAAATTTCCCAGAGAGGACAGGAGGAAAACTGGGATCTCTTGTTGCCTGTCAATGGAATAACAGCGCTATGCTGCCTTGGCTCTCTGGAGTACTTGATTGGAAGACACATGCTCCATCTGTCAGCCCAGGAAAGTTTTGGCTTTTGAATGTCACAACTGGATCAGTGAGTAGCAAGTATCCCGTTCTAGACAGATAACATTGAGGATGTTCCCAACACGCACACATAAATGTTCTGTTTAAGGACATGGATGTTGTCTGAGTTTCTGCAGCCGTACAACTCCCTTTCAGAACACTGCTTTTGGATCCAGCCATTTGACCCTGCTCCAGGCCAGCTCCTGCAGCCTGAAGAGAGGCAGGACACTTGCTCTGTAATGGAAGTTCTTTAACAGTCCTCACACTGTGCGGTAGCTAATTCCGCCATGCTAAAGGTGTCTGTTTACACACAGGCACGGAGGGCAAGGAAGCACTTGGAAGCTGTTTCTGGCAAGTTGTTGACTTGGCTGCTGAGCAGTGATTGCAGCTGGCAGGTTCCAGAGCACTTCTGACATTTTCTCCTTTTTTCCCTTCTCTTCCTCTTGCTCCATTCAATGTCCAGGATGCCAGGAGCAGTGTCGGTTGTTGGACCGTTCCCGCCACAGCAGTATGTCCGGGAAGAGTCAACTGCCCCAGGAGGCTACAGTTATTTCAGCCAAGACTTCTAGAGCAAGTTGCAGCACTGTTCTTGTTGGTGGCCCAAGAATGCACATCCTTTGCCAGCCCACAATGGTTTCATTATCCCTCTGGATAAGCAAAGCCCTACCCTCCTGTATGCACCCGTTGAGCATAACAGGGACTGAATCTGTCAGGAAAAGGATCCAGCTGGAAGAGACTTGCTAGACAGCAAATACTTCACTCCCTTAGAGTAGTTTTCATTGTGTAATTGCTTCCTGTGAAGGTGGGTGCGGTGTGAGAGGAAGTGTGTACCTGGTAAAAGGAGGGTTTGGCAGCAGGCTGGTAGTGGCCACCTCCTCCCTCACCAGAGCAAATAATCAATTCCTGCACCTGGAGGGCAGCATCCCTTGCTCAGAGGTGGCTTTTGCTGGAGGAGAGGAGCTAGACTAGTGAGCAGCGCTTACGCGGCGTGGATGGGACACGGTGCAGGATGCCTGGCTTTGTACAGGCTAAAGTAGGAAATAACCAGTGTGGCATCTCATTCGTGCCTCCTTCAGTCAGGTTTGTGTGCAGGGTTTCATGAGCCACCGATTGCCATCAGAGCCTTTTGCAGCCACTGGTTCTGGAGCTGGGTTGTTTGGGTCTGTCTTGCATGTAGTGGCAACTTCTGGTGTGTAAGCTGCTGCTGGTGGGAGCATAGGGCTGTGAGAGGGGTTAGAGCTTCTGGCTATCCCCAGCCCCCTGCTCCAAGGATTTCCACATGGAAGGAAGTAACTGTTCAGCCTGGTTTCCTATGGAAACAGGTGTATGTGATCATTCACCGTGTGTGTCTTTACCCCCTGTGACTTAAACTCAGCCAAACTTGGCAGCGGTGGAGATCTCCAAGATCCGAATGCAGTCAGCAGAGGAAGGTAGAGCAGGGTGAGCTCATCTCTTAATTCTACCAGGGTCTGCATGGAAGTGCAGCATTTTCCCTACTGCTACCAAAATACTCTGGGGAAGGAGGGTTTTAAGGGAAAATAGAGGGAATAAATCTAGATGCAGCAGAAAACTATAGTATAAGTTGGTCAAATCATTAGCTGACTAAAAACCTACAATCTTTGGAAACCTGCCTTGGCTAGTCCTTCCTTAGACACGACTTGCCCAACTCTCTTCAAAGTTCTTGCACATTTCTGCCATCCCAGAAAAGGGGTGCTCTGTATTTCAAACCCAAAAATTAAGACTCATGGTCTCTTTATGATGCTAATTTACCAGATCTGTTAGAAAAGGCCACAGAAGGAAGGGCAGCACCTGGGACCCGCTGCATGTTTCGGACAAGTTCCTTAGATGCTTTCCCTTAAGCTAAGGCATTGCCTGTTCTCTGCTAGCCAACTGCAAAGAGACCTGGACATCGGGGTGCCCTCATGTTCAGTGCCAGTGCTCTTGAGTCAGGCATCCCTTTTCTCATCATGCCAGGGTAGGCTGAGCCAGGCTGCTGCCTCCTGCCTGGCCCCGGCAGCTGCTGGAGGACCCTGTGGGCCCTCAGCTCGCAGGTTGTGTGCCAAGGGAGCAGCTAAGCCACGCTGGGAGAGGCACTTCCCAGATCTGCTGGTCAGGTTAAGTAAGGAGAGAGAGAGAGCTGTTTGCTAATCTCAGTGCTTGGAGTGCTTGCCTTCCCTTCCCCTCCCCACTCCAGGCTGTGCATGAGCTTTGTTTTTCTTCACCCTGCACAGAATCTGCCATCTTCCCTTAGGACAGGCTCCTGCTGGTCTGGGTTCGCCTTCCTGATGTTTTCCAGGCTTGCTCCGCTGCTGAGGTGTGACCTTAGTCTCCTGCTACAGAGGGAGTCCTTTTAAACCTTGCGAGCTGATCAATGAGTAGAAAATTGTGATGACCTGAAGGAAACTGTGCCTGATAGCCCTGGATGGCCTCCAACTCTGATTTCTGCTGCTTCACTCTTGTCCTGCTGTACCAGGGCAGGTGCCCACTAGATGTGCTGTGCATCAACACCAAGAGGGATCCATTTCCAGCACTGCCCAGTCCGGTGTGTCACTCCTGTCTGTGTACTTGACAGTTTTGCCTTCCCCTGTACACAGTGTTCATGTATCTGCTGTTTCCCTAAGGTGAAGCTCTCCAAATAGAGTGTTTATTACTACTTTTGGGTGCTGTCTCTCTGCTAGAGCCCTACCTGGGATTTTGCCATACTTCAAAGCAAAGAACAGGATGCAGACACCTTTGAAATATTTGGGAGGGGTGGGAAGCTTGTGTTCCCATCTGCCCTCCAGGCCCTGCTGTCATCCTGCGGCACCCTGGGGTCCAAACCAAGCTGGTAAGAGCCTTCCCCTGTGCTGCTCTGGCAAGTCACGAGGCCTTGGGCATACCACAGTCACCAAGGGGAGGACAGGACAGTCTGGACTGGGAGGCTGCTGGCACTCGTGCAAGCTGTTGCACAGCTTGTGCTGAAAACATCCATGGCTGACACTGGGCTGTTCTGTGCTGCCAGAGCAGTGTGATGGCAAATGTGCTCTGCTGCTGTCCTGTTCAAGGGAAACTCGCTCACTGGGGCAGGCTTGGGTGCTCGGGAGGCAGAGTGCATAGGACTGGTGACCACAGCAGCAGTGTCCCCAGAAGTGCAGGGCCTTGTGCTGGCTCTGCCATCAGCTGTGAGAAGTGCTGGGAGGGACAGGCTGCGTCTCCCTCCTGTGGCACACAGCTCTGTCGGGGCAGCATCCCAGCTGCTGCCAGCCTGTCCCTCGCTGACCCCTTCTCCTCCTCACTGCAGGGCTGTGGCGTGTCTGGCACCTCTCAGCCCTTCCATGTGTGCAGGCGCTCACTGAGACAGGTGCAGTTGGTGGCTGTGGCACTGCCCGTACCCCTGGCATGTCCCCTTCCCAAGCAGCAGGATTGCTGGCAAGCCCCTGTGCTAGGACACGCACAACCAGGAGCCCCTGCCAGCTGTGCTGTGGGCTGCAGTGCCCATGGTGCGTCTATGCTGGTCTCATCTGTGTGCTGCAAGCACACAGACCAGGTGCATGCCAAAATCACTCTGCTGGCTGCCCATCCTGCTGCTGGATGGCTCTTGTAGGGGACCCCAGCACCCATGGACAACCCGGGAGGCCCTGCCTGTGGGGCCAGAGCCACCTGTATGACCAGGGGAGGCTGAGGATGGAGCATGGCCCTTGCCTCCAGGCTGTGCCACAGTGCTGGTGAGCTGTCAGCCCAGTGCCCTCCTTGGCTGTGGGCCAGGGCTGCCCAGTCTTGCTCCTCCCCACCAGGGCTTCTGTGGGCCACACCTCACCAGGCTGGGGTTCTGGCTGCCCGCACCAGGCCGAGCCCCAGTGCCTC